CCCTTGGCATGCACTCACCCACCCACGCACCCCAGCTCCACGCGCCTCTGCCTGCTGGGAAGGGTCTGGTGGGCTCCCGAGTAGAAACACTACCAGGGAATGTGGGAAGAAGCAGGCAGGAGAGAGGTAGGAGTGGGGCAAAGAGGGAAGACACTGCAGGCCTGACGCCAGGGGGATGGGCTGACCCTGCGTGGGTGGGAGGAAGGGGGATACACAGCTTTGCCAGCTCCCACCACGCAGGTCACAGGAAGAAGAGAAGGAAGAGGAAAAGGAGGAACAGTGTACTTGGGATTGGGGTGACCACCCGACTCCTGGTATCTGTGGGTCTCCTGGGCAGAGGTGGGCGCGCAGGGGCAGAGCCTGGGGCTCACCCTGCAGCATGTAGGACCTGTCCCTCCCCCCTGACATGAGGGATCTGATGGGATTTGATGATGTCCCTGGTCCCCATTTCTCCAGATTTCCCTTGGTTTTCCCCTCTTGCAGGGGATGCAGATGAGGAGCAGCCTGTCCCGGCTCCCGGCGGAAGCGCAGCCGCTCGGCAGCATTTATCGGGGGGAAACGGGAGCTTCCTGCAGCCTCAGCTGGGCCAGGAATGTGGGCTGGAGCGGGGGGTTCACCCCTCGGGGGGGTCCCATGGGAGGGGAGGCAGGAGGACAGCCCTCTGCAAGAGTGGGGCTTCACCCTGTGGGGAGAAAATTCATCTTCCAGCTCTGGGGACGAGGCAGAGAAAGAGATGGCGTTTTCCTGCCTGTCCAAAAAAACACCAGTTAAAACCAAAAAAACCCCATATTCGAGCTCCTGTGACTGCAGAAAAAGCTGGCCAGCTGGGCCAAGGGGTGTTTTAGGGCTCAGAAGATTAGCTGGCAATCAAAACGTCTCGCGGTGTTACAGCTCAAAGCAGCAAATGCTTTAATTAATTAAGGGAAAGGCTGACGATTTCTGAGTGCCTGAGCCCCTCTGTCCTGCAGGGTTTTGGGCAAAAGCTGGTGCAGCTCCCAGTGCCCTGGGGAGGACAGCGGGAAGGGGGATGAGTGAAACAGCCATGGGACTGTCCCAGTGGCCAGACACAGCCTCGGGGGCTGGAGGGGGACAAGGGCTTCCCCAGTTCCACCACCGGCTGAGATGCGGTCCCTTCCCGGGAGATGCAGTCCCTTCCCAGGAGATGCGGTCCCTTCCCAGGAAGCTGCTCTGGGATGGAGCCCCAGGCTGTGCCCAGCAGAGAGGCTGCAGCTGGAGGTGCTGGGAGGCAACAGTGGCTGCTCAGCCCTTTAGTAGACACTAGAGAAGTCCAGATCCAGGCTCCTGCCCGGCCAGCATCAGCCACCCCTCCCCAGGCAGAGTTTCTTTCTGATGCAGACTCTCAGGTGTCTATTACAGAGTTAATCCTGCACTTCAGTCATAGCTGAGTCTCAGTCCATCTCCAGACCTAAACCTACAAATGTCAGGCTTTGTGTAATTCAATGGCTGGCTCTTGTGCTTCTTTCCTTTTCTCTCTCCTCTAAGCCAGCAAACTGCCTGCAAGCCCCTGTTCCTCCGCCAAAAAAAAAATAAAAATTAATAAGTGGGGGAAACCACATCTTTCAGCCTTTTTCACCCTTGGGTTGAAAGATGTGGTGTTTGGGCTCATCAGGTGCTTTTTTCCGCTGTGAAACAGTGACAGCACGAGGCCAAAGATGCTCTTGCTGAAGGAGCCGAGCAGCTTTGGCTTGTCCACGGAGCCTGGTGCCTCGGGCTCAGGTTCAAGGGGCTGCACCAGTGGCCTCAGAGCCGGGGTGGCGGGACAGGGATGGCGGTGTGGAGGACTCCTGCCCACCAAACCCTGTGCCAAGTGTTTGCAGAAGATCTTGGCCGTGGTTATAACCATCAGTGACGTCCCACAAGAAACGTCCCCCTCCGGAGGCACGGCCAGCAGCGGGCATTGTCCTGCCACGGGGGCTCACTCTGCCTCCCCCCTTCCACAGGCAGACAGGGTTTCACTCAGGCTGCATCTCTCCCAGCTCGGGCTCCCCCTCCACCTGCCTGGCTCTTTTTACCCCACATCAGATTTTCTCATCCTCTGAGACCTCCTGCCCTCTGGCCAGATGGATGGGAATCGGGTGAGATTTCCTAAATTACCAGGAGAGGGGAGAAATGGGAACGAATGGGGGAGTTTGGCTGGTGCAGCTGCCAGAGACGGCGTTCACCCTGCCTTGTTCTGCCCCCAGAGAGATGCTGAAGGCAGCACGTCCCCCCCGCAGCCCCCCGCTGAGCACAAACCGGTCCCCCCCGCGCTGGCAGCCCCAGAGGAAGCACAGCCAGCGGGGAAGGGAGTTTCTCGGGTTGTTTTTCCCCTCCAGGTTCCTGTTTCCCCTCCAGCCCTGCTCCACGGACACCACCGTCATCACGGAGCTTTGCAGAGAGAGCAAAACCAGGACGGTCGGGGTCGGAAGAGACAAGAAGATGGGAAGAGGAGGGCAGGAGGAGGCAGGGGTGCCCCCTCAGCAGCCCTGAAACCCTTGGGCAGCCAAATCTGCCGGCGGGGAAGGGAGGAAAACCGCAGGGCTGAGTCACTCCTCCCAAGGCATTTGCATCTGAGCAAGTTCCAGTCGAAGCCCCCGCTCTGTCCCCGCTACCTCTGCACAGGAGGCTTTACAGGAACGGCCGCATCCTTTCCCCCCAGGACGGAGCCCCCCCCTAAAGCTGGTCACGCTGGGCCAGTAGCCAGGCAGCATCTGCCGGCGGGTTTCCATCGGAAGGCAGGAAGGCTTCCCAGTGGGGAAAGCAGAAGTGAGAGCAAAGGATTGCGGGGAAGCCCAGCCTTTTACCAGAAAGAGCCAAGCTGGGTGCTGGCCGGGCATCGCTGAATTTCAGCATCTCCTAAAAGTGGGCAAGCTTTTTTGGTGGCCCCCCTCCCTCCTTCTGAGCTTTGCATTAGCAAACAGGGCAGGACATGGGGTGATGGTCACCCAGATGGTGGCCTCAGCCCAGTGGATGCTGCTCTGGGGATTTAGGCTGGCGGAGGAGCGGCTTATGAGGAGGACATGGAGCTGGAAGCACCCCAGATGCCACCCCAGCACCAGCAGAAGCCCGTGTTTTTGGCAAGGGTGGCAGAGAGGAGGGAGGAAAGGCAGCAGGGATGGAGTTTCCCATTGGTGGTGGGGGCTGGTGGGGGCAGAGGAGCCACCCTGAAGGTCACAAGGTGGAAATGGTTTCTCCAGGAATGAAAGCACCGAAAAAGGGCATCTAAGGGCTTGGTGTTTATTCCCTCTCAGAAACATCTTGGTGGGGTTCTCCCTACACCCTGCACTCAGGGGTGACATTTCCCTAAGGTTCAGATCCCTCTGATGGGCAGAACCATGCTCCTGCTTGAAAAGACCCCGGTCAGGGTCAGGTGCTGTGCATGGCTGGAGCAGGATGGGTCCCGGGATGGGTCCAAGCCCCGGGAAAGGACCCTGCAGAGGCCGGGTGGGCAGTGAGGGATGTACAGCAGGCATCACTCTGCTGGGGTGAGAGATCTGTCCAGATCTGTCCAGATCTGGCCCATGTCTGGATCTGGGATGCGTCACACAGCGCCGGAGCTCTGTGCACCCTCACAACCAGCATCCAACCTCCCGCTCCTCCCTCCAGCAGCTAAAATCCCAGCCTTTCCCAGGGCTCCCAACCCCCTGCCCCAGCATCACCTGGGACTGGGGCTGTGGCACAGGGGTGCAGGGGGACCCTTCCTCCCAGTCTCCCCCATGCTGGGACTCTGAGATGGGGACCCCAGTCCCTGCCAGCCCTCCCCACCAGGGATGCTCCTGCCTGCTCCGGGTCTCATCCAGGAGGAGATGGAGCTTTGCAGGCGGATTTTGGATTAGGGACCGTGTCACAGGTGAATGGAAGCTTTTGCCTGGTGGGGGGCAGGCAGCACGCTGGCTCCTACACTGCTCCATGCCCACGAATGCCTGATGAGGAATGGCAAGGGGAAGTGTCAGCTCATCTGACACGTCGGCTGGCCTTGCATTTAGTTCCTTGGAAAAGAAATAAAGATTTTGGTCTTAGCCAGCACTTCTCTTTGCAAACAGTGCCCTCATCTTGTAACTAGGGCGCAGTGGGAGGTGAGAATCGGGCAGCTCTTAGCTCAGCAGACGGTGTGAAGTGGATGCGCGGAGCCTGCTGTGATGCTGGGCTCATCCCCAGGGGGCTGCTCACCCACTGGGGTGAGGAAAGGACCCTGCAGAGGCCAGGTGGGCAGTGAGGGATGTACAGCATGGAATCATGGAGTTGTCAGAGTTGGAAGGGACCTCTAGAGACCCTCCAGTCCAACCCCCCGGCCAAAGCAGGGCTGCCCAGAGCACATCACTCAGGAGCATCCAGGCGGGGCTTGAAGATCTCCAGAGAAGGGGACTCCACACCCTCCCTGGGCAGCCTCTGCCAGGGCTCTGCCACCCTCACCCCAAACAAGTTCTTCCTCCCATTGCAGTGGAACTTCCCATGGTCCAGCTTGTGCCCGTTGCCCCTCGTCCTGTCCCTGGGAACCACTGGAAAGAGTCCGGCTCCATCCTCCTTCAACCCCCCCTTTAGAGACTTGTCAGCATGAAGAAGGTCTCCCCTCAGCCTTCTCTTCTCCAGGCTGAAGAGTCCCAGCTCTCTCAGCCTTTCCTCATCAGGGAGATGCTCCAATCCCTCCATCCTCTCTGTTGCCCTACGCTGGACTCTCTCCAGCAGTTCCCTGTCTCTCTTGAACTGGGGAGCCCAGCACTGGACGCAGGATTCCATTTGTGGCCTCCCCAGTGCAGAGCAGAGGGGGAGAATGACCTCCCTCCACCTCCTGGCCACACTCTTCCCAATGCAGCCCAGGATCCCATTGGCCTCTTGGCCACCAGGGCCCACTGCTGGCTCATGGAGGGTTTACTCTCCACCAGGACCCCCAGATCCTCAGCTTGCCCTCATCCAGCAACATGGTTCAGGGCACGTTGAGGCTTTTTCCCCCCTTATAAGTGTTGTGCAGGTGTACATGGACCACAGCTTTGCTCCTGCACTTATGCTTTGCTGCAGGACAGGTTGGGAGGAGGAGGAGGAGGAGGAGGAGGAGGAGGCGTGGAGCCGTGGCTCCTCAAGCCGGGAATCGGTGCAGTGTGACTCCCGGAAATCCAGCTGGGATCCACCCACTGTTTACAGAGGGAAGTGTAGTGAATCATCTGTGTGGGGAAAGAAAACACACCAAACCTGGGCCTTTTTAAGCTTTCCAGGCAACTGAAAGCTGCCCGGAGAAGACTTGACAGGGATCAGCAGCCTGGGGATGGGGCTGGCACTGCATGGAGGGGTCTGTGGCTTGGGACAGGTCACCCATTTCTACCCCAGCCCAGTAAGCACGGGTGGCTAAACCCATCACCACCAGCAGCAGTGCTCTGCTCCCCCCAGGCCAGCCCAGGGGAGCCCCCAAAGTGCCAAAGAGCGAGGAAGAGGAGACGCTTTGAAATAAATGCTTTTTTGTAGACATGGGAGGAGATCGGTCTGGGTACGGGTTTGCTGGAGTAAGGACTGGGCTGCTGCAGCTGCCTGACACAGGGGCACAGAGATGCCTTCAAGATGGCCTGGGGTGCTCCACCTGGCCTCCAGAAGGACAGGTTGTGTAGTTGTGGTTGCCCCATCCCTGGAGGGGTTCAAGGCCAGGCTGGATGGGGCTTGGAGCAACCTGGTCTGGTGGGAGGTGTCCCTGCCCAGGGCAGGGGGTGGGAACCAGATTATCTTTAAGGTCCCTTCCAACTCTGACCATTCTGTGATTCTGTGATTCTATGACACAGGTCTGCTGAGGTCCTCTGATGTCCCTGCCAGCCCTGTGGGCTCTCTCAGGTACCCTCTGGTGTTTGGCAGAGCTCAGGCAGCTAAACTGAGCCCTCAGCACAACGCTCAAGAAGAAGTTACTTCCATCTGCAATAAACAACAGATGAGAAAAGGTTTTTGTATCTGTAAAGAGCTGTGTCACCTTCCAGCTGGAGCAGCCACTCTCCCCACGGATGTGTCTTTAAGCCAAGCTGCTCGGTGCTGAGACCTGTGTGTTTGCCCCCAGGGCTGCAGCAGAAGGAAAAGGTGAGGCTGGATTCATTTAGCACCTGGAGAGGATTTGGGATGGGGTCTGGGCCTCGTTAGGGTGCACCAGTGGGAGATGGGAGGGAAGGGGAGACCACAGTCACCTGTGGTCAGCAAATAAAGGTCATGGCAGCCAAAGCCACCAGCTGATGTGGCCCTGGGAAAAGCTGGGACCTTCCCAGAGGTGTGTTCTGGGGCCTTCAGAAAGTCACCAGGAGCAGAAGGTGGAGGTAAGTGGGGCTAAAAGGGGAGGAGACCCCTAAAAGCCAGCTGGGACCCCAGGCAGGGGTTGTAATGGCTACTGAGTGGGTGGCAAAGGACTGACCTGGCCCAGGGGCTGCAGCCCTGGTGCCACCCTGGCTGCTGACCCAGTCCCTTTGGGGTTCATGAGGTTATACCTGCCAGAGAGGACAGGGGCACCTGGACCACAGGCAGGGCATTGGGGTGCAGCAGCCGTGAACCTGGAACAGAGACCCTGAGGAAGCTGGGGCTTCTTTGCATCCCAAGCTAAAGCTGGTGCCCCAGGCACAGGGGAAATGTTCAGCTCTTGTGGGTAAATTAGAGGAATCAGAAAAAAATTGTGGGCTGTTGGGGATGTTGCCCATCAATACAAACGCAGGTGTATCAGCCCTGCACGTTGAGGAGAGATTTGTGGCTGGATGAAGCTGGAACAGCATCAAGTGCAGAAGAAGAAAGCTCCTGGGCAGACCCTGCATGTGAAAGATGCAGCTGAAAGCCACAGTTAGAATTAAAAAAATGAAAAAAAACCCAAAAAGGTGCCATGGTCTTCAGGGTGCAAATCCACCTGGACACGTTCCTGGGCAACCTGCTCTGGGTGGCCCTGCTTTGGCAGGGAGGTTGGAGTAGATGATCTCCAGAGGTCCCTTCCAACCCCATGTGATTCTGTAATCCAGGGAGCTGCTGCCCATCAGGAGTGGTCTCAGGAGTGCTAGATCCTACTCAAGGCAGAAAGCCGTGGCAGCTCTGCAGGGACGTGGCCAGTGGTGGTAGCAACAGGGTGATGCAGAAACAGGGCTGGGAGCGAGCACTAGATGGCTGCACACTCCTGTTATTCCTGTCAGAGGTGTCCCAGGCTGCACAGCCTGCTCTGGAAACGCTGATCAGCTCCTGCTGGACTCGGTCACACCATCAGGAGACGTTAATAACTCTGCAGAATTAGCAATTACCCACCACGTGGCCAAGGTGGTGATTTTTTTTTTATTTTTTTTTTTCTTCATTTTAATCCCACTTCTCCCAAGCTCTGCTGCTGCCCAGGCAAACTCCAAGGTGAAAAGAAGCAAGGTGCCCGTGGGCTTGATGCTGAGCTTGTGTCTGCTGAGCTTCCCCAGTTCCCTTAGCCCTTGGGAGCTGCTCCAACAGAGTCCTTGCTCCCGGGAAAGCTGCCCCCTTGGCAGAAGCCGTGGGCTCCCTGAGTTATCCCTGTAGGTAGGCAGCAGCTGGGGATGGTGCAGGCATGGCTGGTCCTGCCTCAGGGCTGGGTGGTACACCGCTAACGTGGGTTCCTAGGGAACCTGGCAGCACTGAAAAGGTGGAAAATGAAGGTGTGTTTACTCAAAGTTATCTATCTATAGGGCAATGGAGCTGGGGAGGGGTCTGGAGCATGTGTCTTATGAGGAGAGGCTGAGGGAGCTGGGGGGGTTCAGCCTGGAGAAAAGGAGGCTGAGGGGAGACCTTCTGGCTCTCTCCAACTCCCTGAAAGGAGGGTGTAGCCAGGGGGGGTCGGTCTCTGCTCCCAAGTCACAGGCCATGGGACAAGAGGAAACGACCTCAAGTTGCACCAGGGGAGGTTCAGATTGGAGATTGGGAACAATTTTTCCATGGAAAGGGTTCTTAAGCCTTGGAATGGGCTGCCCAGGGCAGGGGTTGAGGCCCCATCCCTGGAGGGATTTCAAAGCCGGGTTGCCATAGTGCTTAGAGACATGGGTTAGTGATGGTTTTATCAGAATGAGGTTGATGGACTAGATGATCTGAAAGGTCCCTTCCAATCTAGACAATTCTATGATCTCAAGTAACTTTGGAGCAATGTTTGTATGACCACTTATGTTCACTGCTTTGGTTTTTTTACCTGTTTCTGGCCTGCCTTTTCACCTGCAGGGAGTCTCTGCTGCTTTGGGGCAGCTGTGGCCCCCTCCACCCCATCTGCAAGCTCTTAGATGGTTACTTGCTATACCGAGACCACCTGGGAGGTCCCACCTTGGTGCAGCTCTCTTGCATTTTGCTCCCAATAACCTTTCAGTGTGCCCACACTTTTGTAGGTGGTCCTGCCCTGCCATCCTGGCTGTCTTCTATGCAAGATGAAACCTTGGCTGCAGTTTGAGCATCCTGTGGGCAGTCGTCTCCAGATCCTGCATGAAAGCCCACATTAGCAAGCTTGAGGCCAAGCAGCCTCACCCCATCTCCAGGGGAGCCCTGTGGTGCTGTCACTGGCCAGGAGCAGATCATGGAAAACCTGATGTTTTCATTAATGCACCTCAAGATATGTGAGACGTTTGCTTTTAGCTGGGTGAACACCCTTTCTGGATTGTCCTCCTGCTCTGCTGAGAGCAGAGGATGGAAATGCTCCCCTTGTTGCCTGCCCTTGCCCTCAGCAGTGTAGTAAGCACTGAAAACATCTCACAGCCTTCCTTCCTTTAGGCAGGGCTGTTCAAGGTCTCGCTTCTTGTCTGCTTTTGAGTGTCCTGGCCAGGGTACCGTATCATATGGCAGGAACAGCAACAAATTTAACCTGTCTGCCTTCCCCAGTTTGTCTTGCTGTAATGAACTAGCTAATATTGAATTGTAGAATGGTTGGAGTTGGAAGGGACCTTAAAGATCATTGAGTTCCACCCCATCTGCCCTGGGCAGGGACACCTCCCACCAGACCAGGTTGCTCCAAGCCCCATCCAGCCTGGCCTTGAACCCCTCCAGGGATGGGGCAGCCTCTTCCAGGGTCTCACCACCCTCACAGCAAAGAATTTCTTTCTGGTATCTCATCTAAATCTCCCCTCTTCCAATTTAAAACCATTACCCCTCATCGTATGGCTCCACTCCCTGACCAAGAGTCCCTCCCCACCTCTCCTGTAGCCCCTTCAGGTACTGGAAGGCCGTTATAAGGTCTCCCTGGAGCCTTCTCTTCTCCAGGCTGAACACCCCCAGCTCTCTCAGCCTCTTGAAGCAGGGGTCAGGGTTGTAAAACATTTCTGAGACCTGCTGGAGGCACCAAACCCAGGGAGAACAGCATGACCTTTCCTCCCTGACGGCTGTTTTGGGAGTCTGGCTGGCTTCTTTCACATAGCACATGGATAAATCTTCAGGTCCCTTGTGAGGGATGTGGGCTGTCCTCAATTATACAGCAGTGACAGCGTGAACTGATGCACTCTCTACACACTTGTACCCTGGAGGGGGGAGGATGAAGCAAAACCTCTGTCCTCAAAGGTGTCAGCATCGTGGCAGGAAGGCATTTGTCAGCGATGGTCTCTGTATGAGCTCATCAGGCTCTGAGTCCTGCCTCATCCCGCCTTGTAATAACCTTGTTTGCCAGGGAAAGAAAGGGAAATCAAAGGTTTTGTCCCCAGAAGCCTGATATAAATGGAGTGTGGGGGGAAGAACTGCAGGAATAGCTGGGGATGAGGGAATGTCTGTAGATGCTGCTCGGGGCACTGATAGAGTGTAACTGTAAGGGAAGAAAAAGCCAGCACTTGCTTGGGAGATCAGGTAAAAATCAACCTGCCCTTGCTAGGCTCACCATGTCTTTGGGAGGATTTATGGATACATTTGTGAGTTGAATCTTACAGTTTTCACAGCACCAGTGAGGGTTTGTGTTCCTCCAATAAAAGAATATTTTCAGTTTCATTGGACTGTCAGCACGGCCCCATTGATGAGTGCACGAGGAATCCAAAAAATCAGATTTGCTTGGTCTCATATCAGCCTGGATAATCGTATTTATTGCCTCTTTGGAAATGGAAGCTTTTGGTTTCGGTCCAAATAAAGGACTTGTCATCTCTGATCTCTGCTTCAGTAAATGGTACCTGGGAAAGCAGACCAGTCTAGAAACCACTTGAATCTTTACGATTAGCATAATTTTCGTTCTCATGAGAATAAGTTTCGAGTGATGCTATGATTGCAAAGACTCTTCTGAGCTTAGTTGCTTTCTCTGAGCTGCGTTTGACTTGTCTCAATATTCTGATGAGAATAAACCCATATTTTTTGGTTGTTATAGAGCATTCATAAAAGTAGAGTGATGGGGAAAATGTAAGAGGAAAATAACCTGAACCCCACCAACACTCATTTGGTGGTTACTGCAGGTGTCATGGCTTGAGTTGCTCATGCTGGGGGAGTCCAGTGTAGCTCTGTCAGGTGGGAGCAGAGGTTTAAGGCTGGTATTTTGTATTTTTTTTTTTTTTTTTTTTTTTCTTGGTGGGGGAATTTGGTTCTAAGTGATAAGGCATTTTATGTAACTGGGCTTCTTTAGTGAAATTGTTAATTTGGGCTGAAACTGTTATTCTCTTCACCTTTTTTTTTTTTTTTTTTTTTTACTGCTTGGTAGGTGAACTTGGTACTGCTCCTAGCTGAGGGAGCTGGGGGGGTTCAGCCTGGAGAAAAGGAGGCTGAGGGGAGACCTTCTGGCTCTCTCCAACTCCCTGAAAGGAGGGTGTAGCCAGGGGGGGTCGGTCTCTGCTCCCAAGTCACAGGCCATGGGACAAGAGGAAACGGCCTCAAGTTGCACCAGGGGAGGTTCAGATTGGAGACTGGGAACAATTTTTCCACGGAAAGGGTTCTTAAGCCTTGGAATGGGCTGCCCAGGGCAGGGGTTGAGGCCCCATCCCTGGAGGGATTTCAAAGCCGGGTTGCCATAGTGCTTAGAGCCATGGGTTAGTGATGGTTTTATCAGAGTGAGGGTGATGGTTGGACTGGATGATCTGAAAGGTCCCTTCCAACCCAGACAATTCTATGACACTATGAATTGTGATGTGGCTTTATAGAAGTACTTGACCTCTGTTTTCCTGTGATGTGTGACTGTATTTACTTGGCAATGCTGGTGTTGGTGGGCAGAAGGGAAGCTGTGCACACCCCAAAGCTAATCAGCCTGGGAGATGGGCTAATTGATATAATAGTAATGGGAGCAGTGTGAGATGTGACTGTCCTTTCATACAGAAGGCATTTGATTTTGCTAGATAAAAACTCATATTTATTCCTTAAATTTGTGTGCAATATCTGGACTGGATGGGGTTCTAGTAATGTTTGTGATGAGTGTGTTTTGCTAAGACATCTTGAAAGATCACTGTGGTCCAAAAGAGGCTGTTAACAGCAGTAATTAGCAGTGTATAACTGAGGGGTAGCTGCTGAAATAGGGTCCCCAAAGCTACTGCTGGAAGGATTGTTGTGAGGGGCTGTAAGG